CTTTCAAAATACAATGTTTTAAAAGTTCCCCAAACTGGAAGACAAGAACCATTTCCTTCATGTTCAGTTCTTTACAAAGAGATTAAAGACTCTTAAAAAGTGCCTCTTTATTTTGCAGGGAAAAAGATCAGATGAGAAAAAATGAGCTCTAGGAAGGTTGAGTTACTTAGCTTTGATAACATAACTAGTTAATGACAGGATAGAGATCAGGTGCATCTTTCAATCCATTATACAGCCTATAGACTGAAGAACAGAGATTCTGAGGGTATAGTTTATGATTTGCTAAAACTCTAAATTTTTTATAACATAGAAGTAAATGCATTCATCATTTCAATTATCCTTGAAAAGAATGGTACCCTAAGATTTCCTACTTATATAGATGTATACCCTATATGGAGTCCTGCTGGGGCACTGTGGGTTAATGCGCTGGATGCAAAGTCGGTTTGATCTGCAAGATTGGCGGTTCAAGCTCACCTGTTGCTCCCCAGAAATACTATACAGGGTCACTACAGGTCAAAATCTACTCTACAGCACTTAACATCATCATCAACAACAACACACATATTTACATGTTGGACTGTCAGCAGTTTTAATCTACCAGCCAATCTATGGGCGAAAGATGAGGATTTCTGCTCCCTTAAAGATTTTACTACTTTGGAAACCCTATACATAGTCACTATGCATTGCAACCAACTCGATGGCACACCACCACCACTATATATAAATTACAAGTGGATGTGTCTTCAAATATAGAATGTGCATGTCTTGGCTCCTTCCCTCTCTGCTCTTTAAAAAAAAAAAAAAGAAAGAAAGAAAATGCCCCTTTAAAAATTGCCCACTCACCATCTGCTAGGTAAATTTCCTGAAACACAGTAAATGAGGGGGCAGAGATTGTTATAGAGATTATGCCAAATGGCACCAGCATTTATATTTATGAGATCTTTAAAGAAGAGCATTTTAGGGCGTGATTTTTATTTTTTTAATTTCCCCTATCATAGTAAAACTATACCACCCCAAGTGTCTAGTTTTATCCAATTACATAAATTGGATAAATTACACAAAAAAATTACACAAAGAATGAAACAATAAACTAAGTACCTATGTATAAAATGTAACCCCAAAAGTTTGAGATCATATTCAAGCATTCAAAGAGAATGCTAAACATTTACAAACACACTTCATCTATGTACAAGGTCCACAGGCATAGCTTCATAAAGAAGTCTAACAAGGGTCAAGTTGGCTACTTTCCCCATTCTTGTTGCTTTGGGGCTGTACACAAACTGAAACACATGCTATTAAATGCCAAGTCTCCAATTGAGACCATGGCACTACAGATGAAATATTATTCATTCAAATTCAGGGAGGATCAAGCATAATTTATACTTTTCAGAGAATTTGCTCTCAATTCAATAACAGAGAATCCTTGAGTAAAAATGAATTTTTGGGGGAAAAAATCCTTTCCACGAGTATGTTATCTCACAGTCCATAAAACAGCTGCCACGGGGACTTAACCTTTGGCCATCATATATGTAACCTTACCACCTTAAGCCCTTCCCTGCACTGTAATTATTTTTACAAATATGTTACTCGTGTTGCTGTTGTTGTGAAGTGCCGTCAAGTCGATCCCGACCCGTAGCGACCCTGTATAGGATTTCCGAGGAATGGCTGGTGAGCTTGAACCGCAGACCTTGCAGTTCAAACAGCTTTGCGTAGTCCATATTAATTTATGTTTCATCTTTCTTAGCATTAGCAGAGTATTATTTTATACAGGCTCAGAAAAAAATCTCCCATAACTCCTCTCTAATGCTTCTTTGAGGCTGAAAATACACTGCAAGGCAGTTACAGTGACTTAATTTTAGTTGGCCGAGCCCCGGCCACACACTAATTTCATTAGCCTCAAACTCTTGGATTTCAAAGACATGATTCCTGTCCTCAGACTTATCATTTGCTAACCAATTCAGTGTGTTTGCGGCAGAGGAAGAGCAAAGACTTGCTCACTTCCAACCTTTGGCTTGGTATAACAGTAAGCAAATAAGAATCAGAAGTCATAGACACTCTTGTCATTGGAGTAGTCATCCTAGCCCAGGTTCCCATTTTCAAGAAAGAATTTCATTCCAGGTTTTGAAAACTGTAGCATCATTTGTTACATCAGTTACTATCTCATCAACTGTCTGTGCCTCACAAGTTCCTAAATATTCCTCCCCCAGACTAAAGGCTTATCTCACCATCAATTTATATCTCAAGTAGTTGGTTTGGCAAAGTACCCACAGAGAAACCCACAGGGACAGGGTAAAACAGAAAACTCAAATCACTGGAGAGCTAAGAATTCAATCAATCAAAGAGTTTCCTTTATATAGGACAATCTTAATTGAGCTGAACCCTGGAATCCCAGAGCAGATTTACCTGCCTTCCTTTTCTCTCAACTCCTACCTGATTGTGTCTTTGAACAATGAGTCTGTATAATACTATTCTCTCTACTCAGTTTGCAGGCTTGCAGAAGCTGGAAAACTGGGGATTGGAACTGCACAGCAGGAGTTTCTAAAATCACATGCACAAAAGACTACTGAAAGAGCTTTGGGGGTGTAAATAAACCTATGCTCCTAGGAAAACCCTATAAAGGGTCACTATGGATGGGAATCGACTCCATGACACTTTAAGAACAGCAACAATTCCAGCAAGGGCAACAGTTACCCAGATACCACAGCAATAGTGGTTCTGTAAAGCTTACATACAGCGTAAGCTACAAGTTGCTTCATTCCCCTATTCCCAGCCTTCTCTCAATGGATGCAGGTGAAAGCGAAGGGCTCTTTCCCCTTCAGCTGTGCAATCCAACATGAATAGCTGCAATCTGCAAATTAGAAGAAAATGACAGTGTTGTCTCTGAATGATTTTGGTTCCAACCCACACTGCTAACTCTGGCATTGGCTTCCCTTCTTTCCCAGCTCAGGGACTGGGAACATAAGTGTGAGGTAGTAGATGATTTCCTCATAGGTGCCTCAGATTCACACTCCAGAGAAGGACTCAGCCATCCTTGAAATCTATTTTCTGTCAATTAAGTCTTTCAATCTAATCTGCAATCCCTCATTTGACTGTAAGCGGTAAGCAGCAATACTACTCCTTTCCAAGAGACCCATCTGCAGCACTGCCCATGTTCTGAGGGAAAAGTGAAACAGGAAGCAAAATAATTTTGCGATGCTAAATACGAAACGTTCCTTCTGTCCCTTAGGGCTGCAGGAAAATGCTGTGAATCTCTCTCAGTGGTTCTCAGGTACTGGCTCAGACCCGTCCTTTCCTGCACTGCTCCCTCAAATTGTCTAGCTTTAAGCTCAGAGCTAGAGGCAGCGCACCTGCGCCTAGGTTTTGCTTACACAGACCCAGGCTCTTCCAGAGAACATGTAACTCAGAAGGAAGGCCACCCTCAAAACACTTTGGGGTATACAAATATCTAGGGCCCTCCGTGGTAGCACAGTAGGGCGGAGTTGGAGAGGGGGCCCTGACAGGTTCTAGCCTTTGAGAGAGGCACCCCTCCTTCAGACACAAACAAAAACTTTACACTCCTGGGAGATGAAGAGTCTCCCCCCACTCCCTAAACTCGACAACCTCAAGGAAAGAACTTGAGACGCTGCCAGGGTAGGGAGCACAAGGATACCAGAATCAGCCCCCACATCTAGGAGGGAATTAATTGGGTCTGGGTATCACCAGGCAGGGAGAGAGCCAGCCATACAAGAGGAAAGGTTCATATCAAGAAAGGAGGGCTCTTTCCCTCTCAAGAACTTGGGGTTATCGATACACAAAAAAAGGGAGGCAAAGACTGAAAGGGAAAGAAAATAAAGGAAATAACAGCGCAGCACTGCAGGGACGCAGACAGAAAGGCACTCAGAAACACAAGGAAAGGAGCGTACTGGCAGAACGTTCTGAAACTCCATTTCCTAACCCAAAAGCCATCCTTTTAAACCCAATGCAGCCCAGAGCCACGGGGCAAGAGCTGCGGGATCAGGCGCCCAGGGAGCACTGCGGTAGAACCCCACCGCTCAGCTGCCCCGGATACGCCTTCCTCGCTTTCTCGCCATCGCCCTCCCACTGGAGCTGGAGGACCACGGGGCCCTACACGGCGACCACTATCACCTCCCTCCAGGCGCCTGCTTGCCACACTCTCGTAAAACGTCCCTAGAGCTGAGGAGTGGAGTTAGGGTCTGCTTTGGGGCGAGGGCCGAAGGGAGGAGGCAGAGAAAGCGATTCGGTTTTGCAGTTCGCATGAGCTCATCCCTGGGATGAGGTCTGAAGTAGAGGGAGTAGAAAGCTGTGCGCCCAGCTCCAGCCAGTGGCCGGAGTGCCAAGTGCAATTTAGAAGGCGCAAAATTGCCCTAAGCAGAGCAACTGGGGGTCAAGTCTGTGGGTGGCTTCTCCGCACTTGGGGAGGGTCCCAATGCCTCTCTCTGGTCCCACGTTCTCGCGGAGACAGGCTACAGGTCGGAAAATCCCACGCGAAGAAACAGCAAAGACCATCCGAACCTAGGTTAAGATCTTGCCCTCTAATTTTCCCAGAGCTGGGCTTGCCAGGCTGTTTTGGGGTGGGAAGCTGAGGAGGTGGGAAATGCCAGTTCCGAGGCGTCCCCTCAGCTTTCATATTCCCTGCGCCTAACCAACGCTCACAGGAGCCCGGTACCTTTACAAGCCTGTTTCGGACCATATTTCACTCTAATGCAAACCCATTTAAATCATCGCCTTGTTTTTCGCAGATTGCTTCTTGTAAATGGGGCCATAAATCCAGGATGCCAAGCCGAACGGAGTGGAGCGCGGAAAGGGGAGAGAAGGAAGGGTTTTGAACCAAGCAGGGAAGGTACCTCCTCGGGCGGGGTTGGAGAGATACGGCCGACTCTCCAGGGTGAAAATGCACGAAGGCTGACCTGACTCCCACCCTGGGATTCCAAATGAGCTTTTAGGATTAAGGGCGCAGGGAGCTACAGCTTGCTCCTCTGGGAGGGAGCGCCCCCCCCTACCTGGAAAAGCCTCAGGATGTTGGCTACCATGATGGAGACCGAACTCCCCGAAGCCCCAATCACTCCAACTACTTTCTCCGGCTTGACGAAGACCGGGGGCTCGCCGTTGGTGCAGCGCACGTCGGAGGTGTCCTTTTGGATGAGCGCTTGGACGAAAGTGAGGGACTGCTCGAGCGCGTAAGTGTCCCTGGAACAAGTGTCCAGGATCCGCGCGCCTAGTGTCACGTTGGGCAGCAGGTTGGGATCACTGTTGATCTGGTCCAAGGCGTAGAGCATCGCTTCCAGCCTGTGGATCCCGTTTTCCCTCTTGATGTCACCGCAGGGCACTCCACTGGGACCCTTGGCGTGCACGGGAAACAACCCCCCGAGGGTGACGTCCCCCTCAATCCGGATCGAGTGCGGGGCGTACATCTCCTGGCCGCGCGCCGCCGCCGCCAGCGCGCACAAAAGCACCTCCAACACGCAGCAGGGGAACTTCATCAAAGTCAGGATGCGGAGCAGCTTCCCCAGCTGGACCATGCTGCTCCGGCTGCTGCGGTGGTGGCGGCGGCGGCGCTGGAAAGAAAGGTGGCGGGCTTGCCGAGGTCGGGGTCTCTCGGGGTGAGCTTCTCCGGGGAAGCCCAGGGGCTCCTGCAGGCACGTAGGGCAGGGGCACCCGGGGAGGGGCGGCCTGAGAGGGTGGGTTTGGGGGGTCCCGCAGCGACTGCCAGCCTGGGACGCCGTGCGCTCTTGTGTTCGCTGGCCGGCGCGCAGCGCTCGCGCTCCCTGGCTCGCAGTACGCGCTCTGCAACAGCCCAGCACTGGGGAGAGGGCAGGAATTGCTATCGCTTTAAATGGTCGTTCGGCTCCCTTTCCTCCTCCTCCCACTCCCTCCTCCCTCCTTCGCAGGCTCTCCTCTCCCCACCCTTCCCAGCTCCCGCCCTCCCCCTCTAGTTTGCATCATCACGCAGGGAGGGGCTGCGTGCTGAGGTAAGGGAGGGGGGAATGGGTGGGCGGCTGGCTGAGCCTGGGGGTGGAGGGGGCTCGGAATCGGAGTTTGGAGGTCCCCGGAGAACCTAAGGATTGCGCGTCCCGGTGAGAGCTGAGCTCCTGCCCCCAACTCACTCTGGAAGCACCCACATCTCAATCCCAATTCGGGGCTCCAGAGCTCTTAGCCTGGGGAGGGGCGGGGATGTCTGGCGCTGACTGCCCCCCAACCCGAAGTCCGGAGTCTTGGCTCTTAGCTCCAGGAGAACGTAAGACTGAGGAGTCGAGGAAGGAGGGGCACTGGGAGACCCCAACCTCTACTCCCGTTGCGCCTGTGCCAGTTTTTACTAAGAAACATGAACACAAGAACCTGATTCGTGACTTAACAGAACCTTTATGAAGAGGCTGCTTTGGAGACACAATCTGCGCTAGGCTGTGGGGAAGCAGGAAGCAATAAGAAAAACGTTAGGAACGGGAGTGCATCTTTGCTCTAAAAGGGCCAAGGGTGCTAGAGCCTGATACTCCCCAACTCGCGGATTCCCCACGGGTCTGCCCGCATAAACCTCCTACTGGCCCCTTCCCTTTCTTTCACAGCACGAAAGAGAACAGCTGAGAACTGCAGAGCGCGCACTTTCTTCTCTGACGCTGACAGGTGTAAGGCTCTCTCCTACCCATTTCCAGAGATACTTCTGAGCTGGTGACAGGTTTTTTGCGGGTAGAAAAAATCAGGAAAGAGGTGATGGTTACAGAAAGAGAGAGGGACATGACTTTTTTCCGCATAGATTCAGAAAGACAGCCTGTCGACTGAGAGGCTGGGAGCTGAAGCCTGGTACCTGAGCAGATGGGAATTGCCAATAGGAAGCTCTTTTTAAAAGGTGCTCCCTTCTGCCAGTACAGCCCACCTTTTTAGCCCATTATAGCAACAAGTGATCCTTATTCCTATATAAGGAAAATTAGACTTTCTGTCCTTGTGGACAGAAGTGGGCTCAAGGATATAAAATTCAAACATTTGCTACAGCTTGCTGTTGTAATGCAGCAAAACCATATTCTACAGATTTGGGGAGAAAACCAGGTATCAAACTATCCCTTTTGTTGTTGTTGTTGTTAATGCACTCAGGTAAAAAGAAAAGATTCTCCCCTCCTCAAATCAGTAGACTGAGAGTTGATAGTCCCTGCCTCTGACTACCTGTATGTTCCTGGCATTTCTGTTGCAGGTCTAGGCTGTTGCCTGTCTCCCCATCTGTATAATGATGAGATTGAATTGGATGAACTCCAAACTATCTTTTAACTCTCCCATCCCTTGTGAAAATAGGCCATGTTCCTTTGGTCATTTTGCTCTTTTTAGACCAATATCCTCTTGTTGCTTTGTATGTAGGAGACTCTGTTTTTGGTTTCCAAAGCAAATTACAAATGTTTCCTGGTATGAAGGACTTTTTTCCTTCTTGCTCCTTTTGCTTCAATCAAGTTACATCCATTTCATTTTGGTTATGAACTTTCTCCATCTTTCACTATTGTGTTTTGATGGGAGATGTTCCATCTCCCTATAATTCATGCTAGGCTATAGCAGTGATCAGTAATTAGTTCAAGGAAGGGAATACATTCCAATAAGAGTCATTCATTGGGCTTTTCTGGGAGCAACCAAGCTGAAAGCACAGGGTTTCCACTCCTCTACAGATCCTCTCCTAAGGAGCTCTGGTAGCATAGTGGTTACGAATCAGGCTGCTAGCCTCCAGGTTGGCACTTTGAAACTACCAGCAGTTCTGCAGGAGAAAGATGAGGCATTCTGCTGCAGTAAAGATTTACAGCCTCGGAAACCCTGTGCAGGGTCACCAAGAGTCTGAACTGACTCCATGGTACTAACAACAAAAACAACAGATCCTCTCCTAGTTCACCTGTTCAGGTTCACCAGATAAAAAAGGGATCTTTTCTTCAAAAACATTTTATTATCCTTTAGAAGAATGTTATTTTAATTTTGTGAGAACAAAACATTTTACAGCCATCTGCCAGAAAACAGTGCTACCCTTATGTCCACTGGAAATGTCACCCTTAGATGTGATGCACTACGACTTAAGTGGATACTTTGGAAAACTTTATCCCATGATGTCTTGCTGATCTTAGAGCTGTGAAGCTATCTACCTGTAGTTGCTCCAGGGGGTTCCAAATAAAGAGATAATGTAAACATGGAAATGTGTTGTGAATCCTAGAATAACATATATTAAGAGAGAGGAACAGGGGGTATGGGAAGGCCTGACTAACTGATTAAAATCTTTGAGCTTCTGGATCCAAGCATGCCTGAAGGACTGTTGTTGTTAGGTGTCATCGAGTTGGTACTGAGTCATAGTGACCCTATGTACAACAGAACACAAAACACTGCCCGATCCTGGGCCAAACTCACAATTGTTGTCACGCTTGAGCCCATTGATGCTGCCACTTTGCCAGTCCATCTCGCTGAGGGTCTTCCTCTTTTTCTCTGACCCTCCCCTTACCAAACATGATATCCTTCTCCAGTGACTGGTCCCTCCTGACAATATGTCTGAAGTATGAGAGATGAAGTTTGGCCATCTTGGTCTCAAAGGAGCACTTCTTCCAACAGGGATCTGTTGGTTCTTTTGGCAGCCCATGGCACTTTCCATATTCTCCTCCATAACTCAGAAGTATCAATTCTTCTATGGTCTTCCTTATTCATTGTCCAGCTTTCACATGCATATGAGGTTATTGAAAATACCATGGCTTGGGTCAGGCGCATCTTAGTCCTCAAGCTGACATCTTTGCTCTTATAGAATAGCTGACATAGATATGCTGCTAAGTAGCATCAGCTAGTTTGGAACAGGAAAAAGAAACAAAGTAATCAAAAGGCATATTTAGTAGTACAAGTACCACAATCATGGTATTTAACAGTAGGAGTTCTGGTGTCATGTTGTTGAATAAGCACTTAACTGCTAACCACAAGGTTGGATGTTCAAACCCAGTGCTCCCTGGAAGATATATACCGAGTCATGATGAGTCAGAACTGACTCAACAGCATTCAACAATAACCACCTTGGACTATTTGACAGAGTCTGTATCCTTATTAAAGGAACCCTGGTGGCACTGCAGGATAAGCACTGGCATGCTCACCACAAAGTCAGCAGTTCCAATCAGCTAGCTGCTCCTTGGGAGAAACCTGAGGCTCTGGGCTCCCTTAAAGATTTATAGCCTTGGAAACCCTATGCAGGGTTACTAAGACTTGGACTTCACTTGATGGCAGTGAGTTTAGTTTCTGATGTTTGTTCTTTCTTTTTCTTTTTTTTAAGTATCCCTATTTGTTTTTAATGTGAGGCTGCCTATTAGGGACTTGGTGACACTAAATATTTGGAGAATCGGGGGGGACAAGAAACGTCACTTGCTTTTTGTTGTTGTTTTTGTTTTCCGTCTATGCCCATGACTTGGTACATGCTCTATCCTCCCATTTTTATTACTGGTGCAGCACAGTCTCTGACTGCACAGTAAATATTTATTGGCTGGCTGTGGAAGGCGGCTTGCTTTTACTGTGTTCTCTCTTTGCTTTGCTCCTTTTCCCCAAACATCTGGCCTCAATCATTATCTTCCTTTTATTGCAGTCATCCGTGTGTGTGTGTGTGTGTGTGTGTGTGTGTGTGTGTGAGTGAGTGTGAGAGTGTGTGTCTTGGCCAATTGTAAGATTCTTGAGGGTAAGCTTATTGTTTATCTTTTTTATTCCAGACAATACTTAAGAGAATGGTGTTTCATGCCTAGGAAGTATTCATGTGTTGAATGAAGCAGACTTGGTTTCTGCATTCTTCACTGCCTTTTTTTTTGGATGGCGACTGAAATTTAAAATGTAACCTTCTTAAGAGCAGAAACGATAGCAGATGAATTGCTGCCCTCTTATTCACTGTTCACAGTTTCTAGCACTTAATGCATGATTTTGCAGTACTTTTGTTTTAATTGCATAAGGCTTGCAGCATTTGATTAGATCTCAGAGAAGGCTTTGATTGGTCCTTCTAGAGACATAAGATCACTCTTGAGCCAATCAATTACCTTTGTCATTGCTTTAAGCTGGTTTGGGAAGGTCAGGGACATAGGTCAATTTTTTATTTTTCTAGCCATGGCCTAACACCACCTAAACCACATGGGAACAGGTTCTGTTATCAGAAGAACTCAGAAGTGGTACTGACCATATGAAATCTACACACATCAAGCACATGCATGCATGCAACAAAACATTTGACATTTCAGTTCTTTGCATTTATAGTTCAGTGACATTAAGGATATTCCTGATGTTGTTCAACCATCACCCTTTGCAGTCCCAAATGTTTATATTTCATCTTCTTATGAAAATAAGTATTGCTGATTTTCCCTCTTATTCCACTGTCTGTCTTTTTCAGGAAACGATGTCTCCACGTCTAATTCCCAATGTATGTATTTAGGTGTCATTTGTGACTTGCAAGTCAGTTCACCTCAAGTACTGCTACTACCACTAATGCACCGGACTATTCTTCCATGCTTAGGTAGATCTTCAGATGTAACTGGAGCTTTAGGCTTCATGCAGTTGTATATGTGGATTGCATTTACTGAGTGGGAGTCACTTTTCCTCCGGGGGGTGCGGGGAGGGGAGAGAGAGAAAACATTCCACTGTTTTATCCATTGAGCTTTGCCTCTTATACTTCTTTGTAGGGGGTATTTTTTTAATTATTATTTTTTTTTTGTAATGTAGCCAGCATCTATTTCCTATTCTCCTCATTATTAATAAACCTTGTATAGGAATACTTACCTCACAGATCCTGTGAAGAATGAGTTGTAATTGATCTCTGTGTTCCTTTTAAATAGTCC